TAGTACAGGAGAATTCAAGGAAAAAAAGCACACACACAAGATTTAAAGAGAAAGATCTTGTAGGGTATTGACAACTAGGCAGTGAAAAGGGTGCATGTCATTGTAATTGAGCACTTTGCAAGATATGAATGTTAATTCAAATGAACTCTTGACATATACAGGTTAAGAATGTTTGGTTGTTGAGCTGCTGCGCTGGAATGTAGCCATGCTTAAAATAAATGTTTTAGGTGCCTTGTTACTAGGGAATTGTTTATGTTCACTTAAAAAGGGTGATTTTGTACTTTCTCAAAATTCTGCTTAAATGCTCATGGTCTTACATATTTAGGGGAAAATCAAATGATTTGTCTGTGAATGTGTATTTTTTGGTTTGATTTTTTGTGTGAAATTTGATTTTGCTGTGATATGCAGTCTGTTTTCTCTTTATCATATGTATTAGGTTAGTAGTTGATGTTAGTTAATGACACTGCTAATGATAAGCAAAAAAACAATTCAAGTATGGAATGAGAAGTTACTTTTCTTCTCACAAATTTAGATCTAAATATGATCAGATATATATACATACATACAAATCATCCATGACTGTATCATAATGGTAGTTACATACTAATAACAGTAACAATAATGATAATACTAATAAAGTAACATCACAGGTACACATGAAAGTGAACCTTTCAACCCTCTGATAATTAAGAGAAGGGCAGTATCACCACTGTGTGCACTGCAGCATTCAGCATTACCTTGCACAGTCTAAAGGACTTTGGTGCTCCATGCTTGTTAGGCTTATTCTGTAGTTAAGAGAGTAACTTTAGTCTTACCGGGAACCAGTTATGAGTGTGACAGCTGAATTAGATTGGTGAGTAGATGCGTCATGTTGTCAGTCAGGAAAAGATTTTATGAATGACAGTGGATTTTTATTCTCTCTCTCTCTCTCGTTCTCTCTCTATCTCTCCCAAAGCAGATATTTGATATGTAGAGGTTTATCAGCCTTTGCACTTTGCATGAATGATAAAGATAATCTGTTCAGAGAGTTAGAAAAGAAGAGAGAAGGCATATTGGTCACTGATTGCTGGATTTCAAAAGAGAGTTGGTTTGAAATGATTATCACAGATCGGAAAAAGGATTAGGGTCTTGTAAGAACAATTCTAGATTGATTAGAGTAAGATTTGAATTTTTTGAAGACTATGGTATATATATATCTGTTATTACAAGTGATAAGAATATGAGATAGTTTAATCATTTATAATTCAAGAGAATAGTTGTTCATAGTATCACTAACATCCTGAAATGGTTTAGGCTGCAGTGCTAGCCTTCCTGGAGCAACTCTTGCGGGGAATATCCTTGGATATGAGGCTGCCTATGTTGCAAGTCGGGTTGCGGGTCGAGACGAAGCCTCTGCATGGCCTGGGGCGGATGGGGTGGAAGGAGCAGCTTCATGCCAACCCACCAGTGCAGAGATTGCTGTGGATTATTTCTTGAAGAAGCTTGCTAATAAGGAGATAAGCTTAAGGTGGGTTAAATGTTTTATAATTGTACTCTTTACGTTTTATATACCTGTCTATACATATACTTCTACTAATACTGTTCGAGTGATTTGAAAATAGAGGAACTGCTTTTCTGTGAGCTTGATGTAAGTAATAATTAGAAAGTTGTGAATTATGATAGTTATAATTTTTGTATAGATAAAAACAAATGCAATGGCTGTTTAAGATTTGTAGTATGTTATCAGCATATTCATAATGACTTATTTTATTAAAATGTGAAGAGTAATGACAAAAACAGTGAACAGACACTCAAGGATCTGTACTCATGAGTCTTTTCTCAATCCACAGAAACCTTAATGTTGACAAGGAATGGGACAACAAAACAGAGAAAGATCTGTTGTGCTTCCCCAAAGCTCCCAATGAAGTAGAAGATGGCCATTTTGAGTATGGCGATCTGCACGAAAATGGACACTTGCTGATCCCGGGTCCTTCCCTGGACGGCAGAAGGGACCTCCGAAGATCTCAGTCCTTGGGGGATCTGAAGAATTCAGAGGAGCCAGAGTGCATGATTGATTCTGATCATGTGCATCAGGATCATCCCGAGGAGACGGCGAGGCTAAGGCTGTCCAAACCAAAGCAGGACAGCTTGGACATGGAGTCGGAGAGCGGTGACATCGAAAACACTGATCCTGGGGCAGCCTCTGAAATCATAGGAGACATGGACTCCCCCTTGATGGATCTTGAGGTGCGGGGCATCTTGAGCCATCTGGACAATCCTGTGGATCCGCACTGCAGCATGAGTGTTACTAGCCTCAATCACGATTCTGTGTTCCAGCAACACGAGCCGTCTTTTCAGTTGGTTGTAGATGAAGGAACAGATAAAGATGAAAGTAACTCCACTGAGCAGAGTAGTAGTGCCCCGTCGAAAGTGAAAAGCCTTAGAATTCACATTTCTCATTCCTCTAAGCTAGAAAATCAGAGTTCAAATGAGTATGAATCGGAAACTGGTATACCAAATTCACCCACATTGTACATAAGTGGTGTTTCCATTTGCCGTTCCCCTGAGCCGCGGTCGCCCAAAGTTCAGCACCGAGAGACACGTTCTCCAAGCTTAACGCTTCCTCTATGCTGCACACCCGAACCTAGATCGCGCGGGGAGGCGAGGCTGGACATTTCGCCCCTGCCGATCTATAGTCGTTCTCGTTCTTCGTCCCTTGTGGTTCCAAGCTCAGCCACTCTTTCCTCGAGAGTCTCGGCACGGACAACTGGCACGTGTCTCCATCTCTCCTCCTTATCCCTCCAAGCCACCAGAGCCACGTCACCCTTCCTCCTGGGTGAGTTGCGCGTCTCAAGGTCGGCATCTGAGCCCGAGAAGGGTCGCTTAGTGTTCCAGTTTCCTAAGTCCCCAACTGATGGTGCCCTCAGCTCTGTCTTGCATGTTGAAGAATCAAACTTAAGTTCCGATGACTTCCATGAAGCTTTGTTTCTCGGCAAATCGCCCAAACCCAACAAAAGAAAAAAGTCAAAGAAAGAGAGAAACAAAGATGCCAAGGATAGGAGTAAAAGTGAGAAAGAGAGCAAAGAAAGAAATAAAGATGTGAAACAGAAAGAAAAAAGTAAAGAGAACGGGAAAGAGACCAAAGAGAGGAAGGAATGTAAAGATAAGAGGAAAGTGAAGGAGTTGACTTCAGCCGTATGATCGTTTCTTGAAGTTTGAATTTTCACGGTTGTCCTGAAACGCTTGTAGAATCTCTATGGAAATCTAATATTAAGGGTGGGATTGATGCACTTACTGTTACAAATATTTTCACTTTTTTATTATCATTCATATTATTTTCGGGGGTTATATTATTTTTATATATATATATATGAATGAATAGTATCAATGATATTGGGACTAAATAGATTGATTTGTAATTTGGGTTTCACGTGGTATATCATTTTCATTTTCATTCCTTTTACCAGGATTATAGTTTATTGAAAAAAGGAAAAAAAAAATGTAAAAGAAAAAAAAAGGTTCTAAAATTAAAGCTTTCATTACTTTTATATACAATGGGATCTTACATGTACTGTCAAATGTCATGTTCCATACAGATTTTTCCTCCCTACCTGTGATAATGTAGTCATGATTAGATGTCATGTTTTTTTTAGATACTGTTGCTTTGGATGTCATTCATTTCCTTTTAATAACTTTGTCTGTGATCATTTTTCTTTCACCTTTTTGAAGTACAGTAGAAAGTAGACTGCCATTCCTGGCCAGAATCATGTATTTGAAGGCGCATAGGTAATTTTGATGATAAAGTTAAAATGCCTTTTTGTCAGAATTAAATAGAATTGTCCAAATGAATGTAGATAGGATTTTGTATTGTTTATAAAGAAGAAAAACTTTTAAGGGCTTTAATGTAAAAAAAAGTACTGTGATTTTGTATGGCTGAAACTATGTTTGGTAAGTGAGATTTTTGCCAGGCAGTCGGATAGTATTCCCACCCCTGTATGCAGTTAGTAAGCCGTAGGATTCATCCAATATATCAATCCATAGATGCCATTTAGCAGTCAGTTGGTAGAAGCCATTTCATTCTATAGACGCAGATGATACATGTTTTGACAGAATTAGTATATACATCTATACAGTCAGTCAGTCTGTGCAGTCTTTTACAATCAGAATCAGGTGATTATCACCAAAACAGACAACTAATTAACAGAAATGTGTTAAAAGTTAAATCTGTAAAAAGGAAACCCTTAAAACTGTCAATTAAAAAAAAGAAAAAAAAAAAGACAAATCAATTGGTAGATAATACAAATTTGTTAAATGTTTAATGTAGCAACTTAATCAGTGTTCCATACTCTAGATAGTATTAAACTCAACCAATCATGTACAGAACTGTCCCTGACTGCCAACGTCTTGGGTATCAGCACTCGTGTTGGTGAGGTCGGTATATTAGGCCTCGGATAGGGATTTACTCCACTATTTTGTGTCATTTTTTATGTTTGCCATAACTTTTAAGACATTTGTAAACCATATCTGAAGCTTCATGTGCCTAACCTTATCACTGTTAATACCAGGGTCCTGGGAAACACAGTTTATCAGCTTCATAGTGTTCACTAGATCGCACAGTTACGGTACCTTAGAGGCAGCTATATGCCTTGGCATTGAGTGTTGGCGATGTGTATGTTGATGAGTTCCTTGGTATAACACTCACTAACTCAATTTGTTATTCTGTAATATTTTGTGATAGTTTCATAAGGCAGTTAGCTACCTCAACTGTCTAAAGAGTGTTATATCAAGGCCCTTTTGTAAATGTTTCACTAAAACCTTGTAATTATGAACATACTCATAGCTGTGGAGTATGTCTATGTGTTCAGCATATGTGTGGGTATATGATTAACACTAGTGTTCTTACAGTTTGCCTTCCTCTGGACTTTCTGCTGACTTCACCACAGTTGAATGAATGTTTCTTACTAGTCAGAGAGAAATGTTGATCTTGTAAAGACAAGCCCTCCTTGTAAGATGTTAGATGC